GGAGGGATGAGGGATAGTGCATTTCGTCCAAGTTCTCACCTTAGAAGCTTTCGCATGACTAGTACTTTTCTAAAACTGGAATCATTGAGGATCACAGCATGTCCTAAGCGTATGTCGAAATAAGGTTGAATGAGGTGGACTGCATTTCGGAAGGATCAGATAACTTTGTTAAACGGTTCCGTATAGTATTGGCAAAGATCGAACACTTAGGACACGCCCCCGGATTGTGAAGAACGATTCTCACATGAAATAGTTATGCATGTAGGACTAATTCTTCATATGCACCACTCTCAAATCCTGTCGTTAATTGTGCTCGACCACATCGAGGTTGCCTTCGGTGAGCTCCATCGATGGGTTGCCAATCAACCCACTCTCATTTTGCAGAGATGACAAAGCTTGACGTTATATTTTAAGGATTCACTGAAGTTTCCCCTCACAATCTCATTAGCAACCCCGGTCCACTATATAGGGCTGTTAGTTTTTGTCTTCAACCGATCGCCCCTGACAAAAGCCATTTTGGGCTCATACCTCCAGAGCACAAACCCCATGGCCTTGTCCCGCACCGCATACATGGATGCATGTTGAGACTCGACTATCTTGGTCGGGAGACATCCTTTCATCTCTTTCGCGAACCTGGTTGTGGCCACTTATCATGTAAGCAAACCATTCTCCCCTTCAAAATCGATTGGGCACCAAGACACAGTTCCTCGAATCATCCTTAGAATTAGATAGCAAGAGGTACACACGTGGTAGTGGGGGACGGTACAAACACCATAGGGTTTAGGAAACAATCGAGGCACCCCAAGGGAGGCTAGTCACGGTTTCGAAATCCTGGGGAAGGTCCTCAAGGGGGAGCATTAACTAGGTCCCCAGCCCGCCACTCCACCATTACGGTATTGTTGGTCATGGTATTCAAGGCCACGACTTGGCGCTGAAGAGTGGCGGACCACAGCTGCCAAAATAGTGAAACAGCTTGGCAGCCTCTTGGGAGGTCGATGTGGCATCATGCACCTTCTTCTCCGTGCACAGCTTCAGACGCTTTAAAAAACGCTAGATAATGTGTAGCCTTACGTTTCTGCCACCATTGCAAAGAAACCCATCCACTTATGACAGACCTATGGCAGTACTTGTCCTTCGTCCCTTACATGGCCACCATGGCTACACATTCGCTGCCCTTGCGTGCCAAAGGATCCTGCTCAAATATTGGGTACGTGGTGGTGACATCATAGAGCCAAACCACCCCGTAGTTAGGGTGGCGGATGGAGAGGCCAGCATAGACATTAGCCACCGTTGTGAAAATGCTATTCTACTTTCACTCAGCGAAGCCGGGTTCGACAACAATCTAGACACACTCATCCTAGGTGGTAAGGGCGACAAAGGTCCTGGATCTTGGCCTTGTTATGTTGTTATTTTAGGTGATGGTGTAAAGTACCATGACAAATGTTAGTCCTCGCAACCGTAGTAAATACCATGCCTACAGTTAGGCATCGTACCCATGCTAAATCAACTATCGCATGGTATGTACCATGGGCTCTGTTGAGCATCACACTTATGAGACGTATCATTCCTGTAGATAAGCATCGCACCCGCTTTTGTAGGTGATGTTCTAGTGGAAGTTAGATTTGAGGAAGTCAAGCCAGAACTGTCAGAGAGTTGAGATTCTACAGCGCACAGATGTATTGTAAAAGGAATTTGTGGTTCGTTCGTACTATCACATCGGCTCCAATCATGTAGGAGGGCCACACATTGAACGCGTGTGTGATGGCGAGCATTTCTTTATAGTGGACACAATAGTTGCACTCGACGACCTTCAAGCCAGCCAACCAGCCGCCGCCAGCCAGCCAGCCGTCGCCAGCCAGCCAGCCGCTCCAGCCAGCCAGCCAGCCAGCCAGCCAGCCAGCTAGCCAGCCACCAGCCAGCTCGCGAGCCAGCCAACCGCTCCCGCTAGCCAGCTAGCCAGCCAGCCGCCGCCAGCCAACTAATCGCCAGCCAGCTAGCCAGCCAGCCGCCAGCCAGCTGCCCGCCAGCAGCCAGCCAGCTGCCAGCCACTGCTCGCTGCCGCCTGCTGCCCGCTACTACTTGCTGCCACTGCTCCTTGCCACTTGCGGCCCACTGCAGCAGCACTTTGCCGCTCGCTTGCAGCCTGCTGCTGCCCGATTGCAGCCCGCATGCGCCTGCTTGCTGCCCGCTGCTGCTCCCCCCTGCCCGCTCCCTGCCACTCGCTGCCTGCCCCACAGCCGGCCGGCTGCCAGCTGCCCGCCAGCCACCAGCTGCCAGCTAGCTGCCAGCCAGCCGCCAGTCAGCAGCCAGCTAGCAGCCTGTTAGCCGGCCTCGAGACGCTAGTCACCAGCCGCTAGCCACCGCTGCCGCCAACCTGCCACTCGCAGCCACTACTGCCAGCCTGCCACTCGCTGCCACAGTTGCGAGCCTGTCGCTAGCCGCCTCTGCCACCAGCCTGCCGCTAGCCGCTCGCTACCGTCAGCCTGCCACTTGCTGCCACTACCACCAGCCTGCGGCTAGCCACCACTTCCACTGCCTGCCGATAGACACCGTTGCCGCCAGCCTGCCGCTCGCTGCCGTTGCCGCCAGCCAGCCAGCGGCCCGCTCACGGTCAGCCGGCCTCCAGTTTGCTGCCAGCACCTAGCCAGCTGCCAAGTGCCGGCCACCAGCTCCCAACTGCCAGCAGCCAACCGCCAGCTGCCAGACCGCCGCTCCGGCCACAATCGCCACTGCCACTACGACCGTTCATGCTCCTACAGCCCCTAGAGCTCCCCACTAGTCTCCTTCTCATTTCTAGAGTTTCTTGTTGCCTCCCGTATTGGCATGACTACCTCGTCAGGGTCTGTCCCTCGACTGGACGCCGAAGGCTGGGCGGTCGGCTTCGCTCTTCGGTGTGACAAGATCGAATTGGTCGAGTAAAATTTGCACTATCGATTGATACAAGGAGCTTTTATACTTCCAAGGTACATCAGGGAACCATGTTTATTCTATCCAAAGGGAATTGACCCTTCTAGAAATAGAATCACCCTGCGCATATCCACGCGAGACTATTGGCTTTAAGGGATTACAGCAGGATTACGCTAGATATAGCGCGATAGTACATCCCGAGCCTGGTCGGTGATATATTTATAATAGTAGGATAAGCCAAAAGATAATGGAAATTGAAGAATAGGAAACCAAATAAGATGAGATAAAGACCAAATGAGTCAAGAGAAAAAAAAGAATGAGATAGAGAAGAAATATAGAAAAGAGAAAGAAGTGTAATGGGGTCGTACTCTCACACTTCCCCCCCTCAAAGCTGGGTGGTAGAACTAACACCATGCTTAACAAGGTAGTCGTGAAGAGGACGACGGGCGTTACCCATATCAGATTAAGGGACCCAGCTATCCTCAGAAGGATCATGACCCTTCCAACGGATGAGAAGCTCCAAGGTGCCATACCGACGATGGCGGTGTGCAAGCACGGACTCGATCTCGTACTCGAGTTCGTCATGGACGAGGACGAGCGGTGGCGGCGACGGTTGGCGTCAAGTGACGATCATGTTGGGATCTCGGTAGGGCTTTAGAATTTGGACATGGAAGGCATTGTGAATCTTCTAGGTAGCTGGCAGGCATAGGTGCAAGGTAACATGGGTGGCCTGTGCTTCAATGAGGAAAGGCCCACAGAAGTGTGGTCGCAGTTTGGATGGGAGATGGCTGAGTTCAAGATTGCGGGTGTCGAGTAGAATACGATCTCCCACGGTGATGGTGTGGTCATTGCGGTGGCGATCGGCCTGGTGCTTTTGTTGCTGCTGAATATCGAGGAGGTGCTTGTGGGTCCTATTCCAAAGCTGATGCATGGTGGTGATGAATTCATGTGCAGATTGGACTATGGCTGGTGCTGTCGATTTCTGTGGGGTGAGAGGAATTCGTCCGTAATAGAGGAAGAACAGCGTCAGTCCGGTAGCGGCGTGAGTGGCATTGTTGTAGGCAAAATCTAGGACGGGCAGATGCAAGTCCCATTTAGAGATCTCATCCTTGAAAGTTGCGCGAAGGAGTTGCTCGACAATTTGGTTGAGACGCTCGTTCTGTCCATCTGTCTGTGGATGGTAGGCGGATGACATGGCTAGTTTGGTCCCAAGCACAGACACCATTTCCTTCCAGAACTTGCTGGTGAGCTTAGGGTCTCGGTCGAAGATGAGTGTGGTTGGAATGCCATGCTGTAAGATAATATAGCAAACAAACGGCTGTGCTGTCTACTCGGTGCGTGCATTCATGTGTGTCGGGATGAAGTGTCCCATTTTGGAGAATTTGTCGATGACAACAAGGATTGCGTCATGACCGCTTGTGGTAGTTTGTAACGCGTTTATGAAGTCTAGGCTAACCACTTGCCATGGCTGTTCTGGGACAGGATGAGGCTATAGCAGTCCTGCTTTCTTCTGCTTACTGCTCTTCATCCACTGACATGTATCGCACGAGGTGACTAATTTCTATACGTCGTCTGCCATGTGGGGCCAGTAGTAGTGCTTTGCAATACCGGTGAGCGTCCTGTTGCTACCAAAGTGTCCTGCTTATAGGACATCGTGGTATTCTTCGAGTAGTAATTGGTGCAAAGGCGGGTAGTTGGGTAGCCTTATTTTCGTTGATCCTTTCCGGTACGCGATGGCACTGTCCCACTGTAACAGGTGTCGCTTTTCTGCCAAGGGAATTTCGGGGTCGATGGTGAATCCGTGTGTGAAGAGTCTGTTGAGTAGCGGGTTCATCCCTTTGACCTGGATGGCGGCAACGTGTGCAGGCCGGCTGAGAGCGTCTGCATTGTTTTTGTGGCCGGGCTTGTATACGATGTCGTAATGGAAGTGTGTCTTGAGTAATTCAATCTACCGGACCTACCGCTCGGAGAGATTTGGTTGTGTCTTCAAATATTTCAGGCTGCAGTGGTTGGTGTAGACGGTTGTATTTCGTCCTTCACAATAACATGTCCACGTCTTGAAGGCAATGATAATAGCAAGGGCCTCTTTGTCGTACTGTATATCGGGTAATTTAGTTATGCCCCGTGCAATTTCTTGCTGAGGTAGGCGATTGGTTCTAGTCCATTCCACTGGTCTTGCATCAAGACTGCTCCCATGGCTTGGTCAATGGCGTCAGCTTCAATGATGTAGTCGCGTTTGGGATCTGGCAAGATGAGTACGCGTGCGGACATGAGTGCTTGTTTTAGCTGCTCCACAACTTCCTGATGTTTTGATTCCCATTGATAGGGCGAGTTCTTCTTCAGCAAATTTGTGAGTGGTGCAGCGATTTTCGCGTAGTATGTTGTGATAGTTGGCGAAGCTTAGGAACTGCTGTAACTCCTTGTCCCAAACTGCTGCATCGTGCATGGTGATGCTGCAAAGGATCTGCGAAGGATGTCCGTGTCATTAGCTTACCACCCCTAGACAGATGGGCAGACAGAGCGCGTCAACCAGACATTGGAGCAGATCCTTTGCAGCATCACCATGCACGATGCAGCAGTTTGGGACAAGAAGTTGAGCATGGCCGAGTTCGCCTTCAACAACACACATCACTCGTCCACACGCATGTCACCATTCTTCGCACTGTACAGTCAGCACCCCAATGTCCCCACTCGTGTCGACATCACACCTACAGTCCCATGTGCCAACAACTTCTACCAAGATCTCACATTCATTCATGATCACATGAGGAAGCACCCAGAGCTTGCGAATGCACGCATGCCACACACCACCAACCGTAGACTTTGAGACGTGTCATTTTCCGTCGGGGATCGAGTGCTTCTCGATAGCCGGAACCTTCGTCTCCCGCAGGATAGCAAGCTCCGCCCTCGTTTCATTGGTCCATTCATCATCGAGCGTGTAATATGTCCAGTTGTATGTCGCCTTCGCCTTCCTGCAAACTTTCGCATGCATCCCACCTTTCATGTGTCACGCTTTCATCCTTACACCCCCCAATACCGCCTTATCGGGTCATGATCACACTCCACCGCCGGTAGCCATTGACACCGATGAGCCCGATTACCAGATCCAGGGCATCCTCCGTCACCGTCGCCATCTTCAGGGAGGTGTCTTCTTCTTCAACTTCTTGGTCCATTGGCGTGGTTATGACGTTGCCAACGACAGCTGGGTTCCTTTGGCTTCGCTGTCTCCTGACAACTCATGCCTCTAGGCGCTGCGAACGCCGCCTCCTTGGGAGGGGGGTAGTGTTACGGGGTAGTTTACTATTCACAGGGTATTAACACTGATAGCACTGTTCATTCAATCCCAACCTTATCTCTTCACAATCCAACGCAGATTTCCAACTGCCACGTGGCTCTCTAGTTTTGCCATGTAATCCCATCCTGTCCCACAAACCATTTTCCTACAACCATTCTTGCATGGTAAATAATCTTGTTGAAGTATACTCGACGGAGTTTACTTATGCATTCCTGATATACCTGTAACATTTAGACTGTACTAGTAGCGCGAAACCTTATATGGAAGGACGTGCATGACGACGTCAGCAGTAATGAGTCAACGCGTGAACAGTTAGTTCGCGCGTATAGTCGCCCGAAGGTTCACGCCACTCTCACTCACACGAACAGTCACAATTCATGTCACGCGAATAGTCGCGATACACTACGAATAGGTACATTCTGAATAGGTACTTCCTGGACTATAAATATGCATGTATTACTCATTATTATTATCCTTGTCATTTCTTACATTTCCAATACAAGGTGTAAAGACTTCCGCTGAATTTTACTCATGGTTCCACCAACTCAATATCCTGGCCACCCTAAACACATGGTTCATTTCTATATGGTATTCTGAGCTAGTGGAGTTCCAGGATCCGATACAAGCTGATTTTGATTACGCCCTTAAGCTTAAGTCACAGATCTATAATTATGTCAGCTGCTAAGACATGAAATTCAACTACAAATTCTCCTACTTCTGGTCTTTCTAATGACGACCTATCTGACTTCGCTTCCTTGATGGCTAATCAGTCTACTCAGCAACAACAACAACCTCCAGCGCATCCTACAGCTTCTATGAGCCTTGATAACTCTAGTTATGCAAGAGCTCTGTTGCCGCTGGGCCTTCAGCCCCTGGAGATGAATCTGCGGGGTCTTTTGCCTTTCATGGGCGACCTGTTCAACCATAGCAACAACAACAACCACAGTGGCAACAACATCAAATGGCAGAAGCAAGACCATTCGCTGTTGAAGCTGTTGTAAATCAAGCAGATTTTCTAACTATCTCCAAGCTGAAGACCTCAACTTAGTTTGATGGCCGCGACTTCTATGGGGATTCGAGTTTGAACTCCTCGTGCAATCTGCCGGTATCTGGGGATATTTCGACGGTTCAATCCGTTATCCAGAAATAGGAACAACCGAAGATCAAGCGCATTATTACAAGTATTTTCTTATGGCCTATACACTACTGGTGCAGAATCTCTCACCTAAAGAGCAGTTGGGAGTTCGGTGCTTCAAACCTTCACTTGCTCCAACCTTCTATGCCTGGGACTAGATGTGCAAGTTATATCAAGCACAGGATTCCGTCACACAGAGCAAGCTGTTAAGTCAACTTACAGCAATGCAAATGCTTCCGGGAGAAAAATCCGGGAGCTGCATCAACAGGTGCAAAACACTTGGGGATCAGCTCAGCAGGTGCAGCGGAAACCTCAGCAACGAGCTCTTCGTCACTATCCTTCTGGCTTGACTTGGACCCGAATGGAGGTAGTGCAAGTCCCTTCTTTGTTTCCAAGGGAACATCTCAGAAAGTTCTCCTTGCGCTACTCTCATGGCAGAGTAGCAGGACTTGGACCTGTACAATGCAAAATGAGGAAAAGCCAAGAGTTGGTTAAGCTTCTATACATGTGGATCAAGTCAAGAGGAGCAAAAAAGAGGTGCATCAAATCAATGGGAGCATATAAGAGAAGGAGCAAAAGGGCTTCTGCAAGTTTTGCAAATGAGCAGGTCATAATATTGAAGAGTGTCAGAAACTGAACAGGAATCGGCAGAAGTCGGGTGAAGCCGCCTTGTCAAGACTATCTTGCTGCCTTTAGCTTCTTCAACTCAATATGCAAAAGGAAAAGCAATTATTAATTGCATGATTGGACCACACTTGTCTAGTGGTATATGCTACAAGAGCAGACGAGACAATGACAACGACAGTGACATGGAAGAAGGAGCAGCCAACCCACCTCCACGTCTTCGTCCTCGTTCAGAAACTCCAGATCATGTGGTTGTTAACGAAGAAGAACCAGAGCAGCCGAGCGGGTTTCCTCGACGGCTGAACGTGCAGCCATATGCCCATATCGTCAAGCGTACGTATCCCGAGCATGTCAGCACCTGGTTTCTTGACAGCTACTGCGGTCACCACATGGCATCTTCAAGTCAATATCTTCTCAACTGGTGAGACCTGCCAAACGGAGAGAAGTACAACATCACATTTGCTAACAATCAGGTTATTGAGGCAACCAGAATTGGAGATGTGACACTCGAGTCCGACGACACAGAAGTTTCACTTCACCTGAACAAGGTTCTTGTCGCCACGGGACTCGGCTTCAACCTACTATCACAAGCGCTGCTGATGGAAAGCGGCATCTGCTTTGTCAGCACCGCCAACACGATGCTCACAGAGTTGTACCTGAGCGACAAGAAGGTAGACAAAAGTAATTTAGTCGACATCGCAGAAATTAAAGACGGCATTTCCGTTCTACGGGTTTCACCTGTCAAGGCATCTGGCGATAGTGAGAAGAACATCTCACTTGCTCCTTGGCATCATCACTGGGAAACAGATCTTCAACGCCAAGACCATCGTGGTCTCAATGTCTTCTGCATCATGCCTCAGCCTTCTTGCACCAAGTCCCTCGACGAACATGCAGCAGAGCCAACAGAAGCAGCATCAGCAGCAGCAGAAACACTTCAAAGCACATGGGCATCTAGAGATGGAAATTGGGGTAACAACAATCAAGAACCAACATCTGCTACAGTCGAAGAACCTATGGAGGTTGAACGCACATGCGGCAAGAAAGAGTTAATCGTACCTAATGCTTGGATGCATCACCGACATCTCGGCATACCTTGGATTGAAACTGCAAAAGAAGTCGGGTTCATCCAACCTTTCGGCACCGGCTGCTGCGTTAACCCTACACCAACGATTCATCTTTCGCTGGCCTTCTTCCTTCACTCCGACTTGTACCGGCGATCAAAGGGACACAGGACTACAACAGAAATCTGGCACAAGTAGTTAGGTCATCCCTCGCAAGAAGCTCTCAACAATTCCATTAAAGCCTCGGTTTTTGGTAAGGACGCACTACTTTTAACCAACGGCCAAGAGCTTCGACCTAACAGTCGTCAACTACCTTGCACCATCTCCCCTGGAGCTCACCTAAGTCGCTCCGTTCCTATCGCACATTTCAAGTGCTACTAAGTACTCACCTATGGATGTCGTTTTCAGCGACATACTCTTCATGCCACAGGAAGCAGAAGATATCACTGGCAACGACTACCGCTATATCCTTACCTTTATCGATGGTGCTAGTTGATACATCTGGCACAAGAATACCTCTCACAAGTCTGAAGCTCTTGACACCTTCAAAATCTGGCTGAAAATCGCGGAGCGACAGAGCGGCATCAAGCTGCAAGAGATCCGGACAGACAATGCGGGCGAGTACACCAGCGAGCAGTTCGATGAATTCGTGGCACGGAAAGGGATCATTAGGTGCAAGACTGTGCCTTACGCCCATCAACAGAATGGAGTAGCTGAGAGGACTAACAGAATGTTGCAAGAGAAGATGCGCATGCTGCTGCAACAGTCCAGCTTGACAGCAGACTTCTGGCCGTTTGCGATGGCGCAAGCTGTTCGCCTACACAACTGCCTGTCTTCAACAGCTCTTCCTCATTTTAGCTCACCACACGTCATGTGGACAAAACACCCCACCGACACTCGACTTTTACGATTTTGGGGCTGCATGGTCCAATATAGACCTCCGAGCGCAACTGTGGGCAGATTTACTAAACGGGCTCGCTGGGGAATACATATTGGTGTACCCAAAGATTCCTACTCCTCGATAATTATGGATTACGAAACCCGAAAGGTTTTGTATGCTCGAGACTGCATATTTTATAAGACTCTTTTTCTCGATGACTTCGAATGTGACAAGGAACGCCAACAGCGGGATCCTGATAGCTACAGTGCCGAACAGAGTTTTGCAACTCCTCAAGATGAAGCAGATGCCGCCGAAGAATATTATCCGCCCGACAGCGCAGCAGTAGGACCTTCTATAGTTCCGCAGCAGTCTACATCAAGAGCCGAACAATTGTTCGACTCCTA